AATATTACAATTGTAACAATACAGACAGCAACACTTTTGCACAATCGATACCCAGCTGATTCAGTCTTTTCATAAGAGGACTGCGCTTCTTCTCTTTTTTTTCCTTGTTAACATAAAGGCAGTGAGATGCGCCTTGTTTTCGGCCACTTGTTCAACTGCAAGACATATTTAACTTGCGGGACGATAACGTATAACCAGGGCTGATAGTGGAAAAAATTTCTGAGCCTGAACTTTTTTTCCTTGCTGATTTTTTAATTTAAACGCATTTATTTTATGTATTCGTAGTCATACTTCCGTACGTAATATAGTCATTTGACAGTACATGTCAGTCAAATTTATTGTGGCATGCTTATGTATGGGAGGGGTTACACTTATCTGTTGTACTGTATATTATTGCATGCCAGTAATGTCAGTGACACATGCCAGTAATGTCAGTGACACATGCCAGTGTCAGTGATCTTGTGACATGTGCCAGTAGGTGTCAGTATAAGCACGTTATAAGCACATTAATCTTATAAGTCTCTTTGCTTTAATATTTAAAAATCATTAGGCAAATGACACCTGTTATCTTACATGCATATATGTTATGAGTTTTTTTAACATGCATTTTATTATAACTTTTTAAAGGATATTATTTAAAATACCTTAACATGAAAATAAGTTAAATAATAAAATAAATGAATGAATTAAAAACATAGAGAAGTCCATATTGTAGGGAACAAAGGAACTGCCAGGATGCAATAATATACAGTACAACAGATAAGTGTAACCCCTCCCATACATAAGCATGCCACAATAAATTTGGCTGACATGTACTGTCAAATGACTATATTACGTACGGAAGTATGACTACGAATACATAAAATAAATGCGTTTAAATTAAAACATCGTGGAGTAGCTCAGCAAATAAACTAACTTGCGACGCGATAAATTAGGTTAAAAGTCGCGTAATGATTAAATATGAGTTACAAAACAGTTTTGCTCGTGTTAATTAATGTCATAAGCTTCGCCGGGTGTCGATGTCACTGCAGTGACATGCAGCGCGACACTCTGAGTGACATAGGTAACTACACATGCCAGCGAGTGACACATGACAGTGGAAAACCGGACGTGCCACCGGAAGTGTCACTACTCTCAGTGGCATGTGCCAGTGTCATCTGTACGTCAGATGTCGTGTCACTCCATGTTAAAACTGCAACTGTGAATCCGCGTTCAAGCGCACACAATAAGCTAAAACTCGCCCCAAGCACCGGCAAAAACAAATAACAATGAATGTGTCAAGGAAAGAGTAAGGACATATCTTAATTATTTATTAATAAACTTATTCTGAGTCAGTGTCGCAAAGATCCTGACTGGCAATCTCCTCTTGGACTCGCCTTTAGAGAGAAATTCATCTTTACGGATTACATGGAGTTTTTTTGTATTCGATTTGTTTTATTTCGTTAAGTAATAATTTAAAGCTTTCTATAAATATATTTATTATGTCTGTGAGGCATATACATTTTGCTTCATTTTGTTAAGCGCTCCTGTTCAAAAACCAGACGACAGAAAGCGCATAATTTTGGTTTTCTTTATTTTATAAAAACGCTGTAACATTTTTTGATGTATTACTCGTACTTTGTGAGCAAAAATGACGGATAACTTTAAATTGCTCCCACTGAAAAAATGTTTTATACTTGAACTGTTTTATATCTTTTATTTTAGGCAAGTCGTGATGATCTGAGAAGGTAAACTGATCAAACAGACGATGATGGTCTTCCGCTGGGCGCTGTTTGTTAAAAAAAAAAAAAAAAAAAAACAACAACTTATTTTTAACGAATAAAAAATGCTCCAAACGTTTTAAATAAGCTGAATAAAAAACGAAACTAAATATAAACACTTTGCCATTAGGCTACATACAAAACTGAACTATTTTATAGCTGAAACACTAAGTTGTTTAAGGCGAAGGGGGAAATATATTTTTGTCCCGTCTATTGTTTCACCGTTATTTCGAGAATAAACCCAGCGTAAATATGCAGATGTCATTCCCAAAACATCAGCGTATATGTGCCGAAAACGAAAGTTTCATACAAATTCTGAATGGATTATAGCCTGGAAAGTGCAAAGCACGCTCCTCTTATTATCACTAAAAAGCGTCACTAATCTTAGTTCATAGAGATCTCACAAAGATCCGTTATAATTTATAAAGCTCTCTAAATTACACAATTAATCTTTTATTTACATGGCGTCTACACTCAAAAGATGATTCACAAGCACACAAAATGGCACTTAATAAAAACCAATCCGGCGCTTTCAGCAGTGAGTGAATTCTGTGAATCTAGAGAAATGACAGATCAATATCCGTGAACCTGATTTTTTTTTTTCCCCCGCAGCCACAGTACGCTGGAAATCCGGCGTGGTGCCGGAACGCTATCACTCCTGTATAACTCGTGCCTACAGACACATTTGCCAAAGAAGCAAAATGGAAGAAGAATATTGCTGTTTAACAGACGTGTTGATGCCAAACCAGCGCTTATGTTGACCTGGATCTGCGTAATAAACGCAACAAATAGGCTTTACCTTTTATTTTACAGCTTATAAAGCATGTATGCACATTAATGCAATATCATATTTAAACAACAAAACTGTTTACAAAAAGTCAACATATGCGTGCATTGTTGTTGTCTTTTCATCACGCAGCGCGCACTTGAGCCGCGATGGAGAGAAAGGAAACCACGTCAAGACATAATCTTTAAAATAATGATTTCTATTAAAAATGTAAAAAGGTTTTTTGATTTATAATAATAACAGCGGGGCATTAAATAAAGGCATATTTTCTGTGGAGCGAGCAATTTGAGGAAGTCAGCTAATTTTATTTGATGGAAGAAAAAAACAGATTGGACAATACAGCCTATGCCGGTTATTAAAAAGAATCAGTCAGTATTTTCGTTTTGTAATATAAATTAATTATTTAAGTGAAAATAATTTACGGCAGTCCTATTTATTTTATTCATTTTATTTAGATTATTCTGCTCTTCTGTGCTAAATACTGCAGGTGCGTGAAGATGCTCTCTGATCTGTTATTAATATGCTAGCATTTAAAAATAAATCAGTATTTAAAAAATCCAATATTTAATGTGTCAGACAAAAAATAGACACGTCAATTTGTTTAATATAAAATTAATAGTAATCTGACCAGTTAACCATTAATAACCCATTAATGAGCGACGGTTGAAGGTTAGCAAAATTAACCGAAATGAGCATCCCTAGTGTGTTTTTCATGCAATGTTTGATACCGCACGGCGAATAAGAGACAAAATAATCTCTGCATTTCTCTGTAACTTAGATGAACTCGGCAGGTAAGCTGCATGTGTTATTCCGGTCACAAAATGCGGTGAAAATCCTCCACGAAGGTAATAGTTTGGTTGTGGTGCTAACATGTTTACACTCGGTGCAATAGTTAGTTCGATATGAACAAACTGAATAAACAAGGAGCACTGGTCGCTCACTTACCAAATCTGTAGAGACAGGACAATCCACAGCAACTAGATCCACGTCTTTATTAAGAGGAGAAGAGAAGCGAATCCGGATCTCCAATTGCAAAAGATAAAAGCTCTTGGGTAAACAATTTTCCGACACGTAAGTTATTGTTGTGTCGCGTTGTGTCGCATACACTGTAATCCACGCGTGATACCAGCTGGGCTCTCACAGAGAGAAAATGAAAACCAAACTTCACTTCAGCAAATTAGGAAAGCAACACTGCACGCTTGTTTTGCCAACACGATGTGGCGTCTCTGCCGTGATGCTGTCTACATTGTAACATTTGTGAATATTAATGAAGTTGCACAACAGAGTGCGCTGATTGGTTTGAACCAAGTCTTACTCATGCATTAATGCAGCACACTCGGAGACGTAATACAGTACACCCAGGTACAGTCGCCCATTCTACACGCTGGAATACACGCTATGATCTCATGGCCGTGACGCAGCTTTAAAAATTCGTACCGGTAGTATCAATTTGCTCGAAATAATGCAAAAACTACCAATTTTCACTTTTTAGTGAGATATATGTGTCCTAATAGTGTTTTTGACAGTGTGAGACACATTAACGACTGTCAACAGCTCAAAAAATGTTTTTTGGTGTTTCGTGACCCTTTAACAAACAAAACTATTGTGTTCATCCAGCATGTTGTCATTTCTGTAGACGACATTTACATGCAAAAATAATGTAATCTTTCAGCTCGCTGAAATTTAAGTAGACAACGTTTAAAGAGAAAATACCATTTTCACCCAAATCGTTGTAATTTGTGTGGACAATGTTTACAAACAAAAATAGCATGTTCATCCAGCTTGCTGTCATTTGTGTAGACAACAATTACATGCAAATATAACTAATTTGTTCAGTTTGCTGAATTTTTGTAGACAACTTTAAAAGCAAAAACAACGTATTCGTCTAGCTCGCTGTAATTTCTTTAGACAACGTTTCAAAGCGAAAACAACATATTCGTCCAGCTTGCCGTAATATAATTAAATGTTTAAATAATTGGGGTGTCAAAATTAATAGCTTCTTCGGTGTATATTGTTAGACTTCCCAGATAACCATAAAGCACTGTTTATTTTATTTTCATTTTTGTTGTTATTTATATTTGCTTTTAATTTATTATATTTTATGCAAACACACCGCATAGAAAAATACTTTATCGTCCCAGTTGATCTAAATTAATGAAATCTTTCCAAATAGAGCTATTTAAATAATATGGTGAAATTATAATTATATTGCAATATATATCGCAGCTAAACAAAATATTGCAATGTTATATTCAATTTTTCAATATCCAAATAGTTTTCCAGTTTAAGAGTTGGTACTTGTCCAGCGATGAAGAATTTTTATTTGTCGAAGATTTAAAACTAGGCTCTGGCTCTGAACCAGCACTCAAACTGCCTTCATGGAAAAGTGGTATGAGAATCATCTCTGAGCGGTACACAGGAGAGGCACCTCACCTTTCATGCTCTTCTGGCAGGTCTGTATTCAAGCCTTTTATCTTTTCGGAGAGCGTGAGGCCTGTCAGTATGGTGATGTCCCCTCAGTATGGCCCAGGCGACCCCGTCAGGACACTGCCTCGTTTCCAGCACCAGGTGGACCGCAAACATGAGCTCTACAAAGCCCACCAGATGGCCAATACCAGCTCTGTAAGTCTCACAAAAAAGAGAATATGTCATTTTCTTCCTAATATGCGATTTGGTTTGTTTCTTTGAGCTTTAGATCATTAAAGGTGCAGTAGGTGATCTTCCACAATGCTAACAGCTTAGCATAAATCTCTGAATAACAGACCCTCCCCTTGCCGTCCAAAGCCACGCCTCCTGAAATACAAGCACACGCAGCTTAATGATGACAGCAGAACCTTGTCCGGCAGCGTGCAGGAATTACACTCATTACTAAACCAAATTGTATGCATGGTAAACAATATAAGAACAGCGTCACAGGTCGTCATTGTTCAAAAATGAACCAATCTGATGTGAATATAAAACCAACTTCACCTCAGTAAAGCTGGCTAGGCAGAATAGTGCTATTTACTTGTGTTTTGTTGTTAAACTAAATAAAATCTATATTATCGATGCTGTAAACGGACCTTATGAAACTGAAAATAGTCAAATCAATCTTTCAACAAGATTTTAGTGGCTGAACAACATTTCTGTGCAGATAACCCATTTATAACAACAACATCTAACATTACACCAGCTTCGCGTGAAGCTAAAATAGTTTTAAAATAGAACCTGTCTAAAAGAAATACTTCAGCCATAGTGTCATCATTTCTTCAGCGTGCAAAGGTAACTCCAATATTTATCCAGGTTTTTAAAAAGCTTTAATTCAGCATGTTTTTACCGATCTCTCTCTCTCTCTCTCTTATGGACACGCAATGCACAAACGGCGGAGCTGCGTACAAACGACTGCAAAGTTGATCAAATCAGACTGTTTGACCTGCTTATCAGAATTATGAGAAAAATAAGAATACATTTAGATCATTTACTTTAATCAATACTATTGGAATGTAAAGAGACTTTCAACCAGCACAACAAAAAATGCTTCTGAAAACATTCACCTACTGGACCTTTAACACTGTAGTGCCTGTTTCATAAACAATACTAAGACTTATGACATTTGGTATCTTGGATCACCAGGACGATTTCTGTTCATGTTTATTGTCCGTCTTTTTTAGACATATTTTGGACTTCATACCCAAGTGATTCACTGGCGATGAGCAGAATGTACATGTACAGAAAAACCCCGATACACAAGGGCCCAATCACAATTCTATTTTTGTACCCCTTCCCCTTAGCCTTTGCAACCGAGGGTTAAGGACAAGGGCTTCAAAATTTACCCCTAAGAATTGGGACAGCGCTACATCACCTGCACACGTCATCATATGTCCTCGCAATCTCTTGCTTCATATGAGTTCAGATGATGGTGACTACTGTAGTGATTTCAGTTGTGTTATTTTTTGGAATTTATCTTCAGGAAATCACTGAAGGCCTATATTATGTTATCATAACGATCTAATGTGGCAATAAGATTGTAATACTGTGCATTTAACACAGTGGCCATATTCATTAATGTAAACACACCAAAAACAACATTAACATTACAGCAGACACTGTAAAAAGCCCATTCCTAGCCACTAGACTTTTCTGAAAAGGTATTCAAGTGTCAGAATGTTGTGGGACTGCTATGCAGAAGTTATTATTAGCGATTATAGATCGCGAAATTTAGCGGTTTTTATTTTTGTGTTTTTTAAAAAGCATGACGAACAAACACGACCGCGGTTATGAATATATTAAAACATGTGTTTGTTTGTTGTAAAAATTCGTAATAATGACAAAAAATAGTAAGTGGGTCTCCTTACTTCTGGGTGCAGCTGGAGCTAGTCTATTCTGGAAAAATTTTCCTACCCCTTGGTTTCGAGTGTGGTCCTGAAAAATCTTCGTTTGAAGGGGTATATACCCCTTGTCCTTAGCCGTATGCCTTCAAGCTAAAGAGAATTGGGACACCACTACCCCTTCACAGGCTTGCGCAAAACGTGGGGTAGAATTGGGATTGGACCAAGGTGGTGCTACACAACATTATGCTTCCAACTTTCAAGTTTGCACATAAGGCTGATTTATACTTTTGCGTCAAGCGGACGCAAAACAAATATTCAATCTGGAGCTCCTTCATGGGAGTCTACACTTGTAAACACTTGCTCCATCGGTGCTCGCGGCACTCAGCACCCCCAACCTCGCTGTCACTGACACCGACGCTAATGCTCACCTCTTAAAAAAAGTAATTACTTGTCGCAACAATGCTAGTAGCGCAAGCTCTGTGATTGGTCAGCTTGGTAGCTGTGACACATCGGCATCAGCCATGACGAGGGATATGCGACCGCATAAAGGCTGTGCCAAAGAATACGGCAATGGCTGTTTCTCAATTCCAAGAACAGAAAAAAGGACTTGGGTTCTTGTTAAGACTAGTCTTGCTAGTTCAACTCAAAAGAAAGAACCTAGGAGACCACTAGGACAGAGAACGTGTCCTGTGAGAAATGAGATGCTACATTCTTCTTGATGGTCACGTGACCTTCATGCATTTTTTTAATGGATAGGACAGTAGAGATTGTTGACAGGAAAGCAAGGGGAGCAAAGAAAGGGGAAGGATTGGCATAGGACCCAAGGGGGGGAATCGAACTCAGGTCTCCTTGAGTCGACGCACTAAACACTACACTACTGGCGCCGATAACCTTCATGCATTTTTGACAGAAATTTATGTAAACATTGCAGCAGTCATACAACGATTTATTGTTTTTCCCTTTTTCAATATATATATATATACCATGCACAAAGAATTTACAAATATACATGGCACAGTATTAATAAAACTGATTTTAAAACGAATTTTAGCAAAAAAACGGCCACCTACAGTCGCAATGACTTCTGGGACTTCTAGAGTGAGTTCGGTGCTCAAGTCTGCATCCATGCGTCCTTTATCAAGAACACATCCGGAACTTTCACGTGCCACTGTTCTTGCGATCTTGAATATTGGAACTGAACTTTGGGAGATGATGATGACGTTACACGAGAACACAAGTACACAAGATCAGTTGACCAGTATAATAAATAAATAAATAAATAAGGGATATTCTACCACAAACATACAATTTTACTTATTAAAAATGTGACAGGGCCTGACCTTTAAAGAGCCATGAAGCCCCCTTGTTTCAGCAGTGTTTTTTCACACATCTACTTCGGAAAAAGTCAGGAAAGTGGGCGTGGCCAGCTCTGTTTAGGGGGAAGTGTCAAAGGAGCAAAAGAGGGATGGTCTGTAAAAAATTGCATAAAAATGGGAGTGTCGGTTCGGGCAAGTGCTAATTTTCACAGAGGCAAAACACACACACACACAAACACATGGACATCAGTGTTAACATGGACATCAATGTTAATCAAATTATTTGACAAATTATTAAATATACGATACGAACTAACTTTGCCATTTGAATAAACAAACAAAGACCACTGGTCGCTCGCTCACCAAATCTGTAAAGACAGGACAATCAAAACCGCATCTTTATTAAGAGGAGACGAGCAGCAAATACGGATCTCACCATTTCAAGATGAGAAAAGCTCTTAGGTTAAAAAAATGTTTCTTAGACACGTATTGTTTCAGAGCGTCGCTTGCACTGTAATCCACACGTGAGTCCAGCTGCGCTCTCACAGAGAGAACATGAAAACAAAACCTTCACTGCGGCAAATTATAAAAGCAACACTGCGTGCTTGTTTTGCCAACACAACGCGACGTCTCTCTGTGGTCTGAACGCTGTATCAGGTACAAACAGTCTTGGAAGCTATCATGCATAATAATGAAGTTGCACCGCATAAACAAAAGAGCGCACTGATTGGTTTGAACCAAGTCTTACTCATGCATTATTGCAACACTCTCGGAGACATAATAAGGCACTACCACGTACAGACGTCCCGTCTACACGCTGGAATACACGCTAAGATCTCATGGCCGTGACGCTGCTTCAAAAATTTGTTTCAAACCGGAAGTTCGATTTTGCTCGAAAAAACGCAAAAATAATATTTTAGTGAAATATATGTGTCCTAATCGCATGGGACACATATATTAACAGCATGGGACACATATATGACTGTCAAGAGCTCAAAAAATGGGTTTTGGTGTTTCGTCACCCTTTTAGCTTGTCCTACTCAAAAAATCATTTTCAATTATATCAATTCAATGATATCCCTGATCACTGTCAGCTTCTCCTACGTCAAATCAGGCACGTGCACAAATAGGGCTCTACCTGTGCACTGCACATGCCCTTTTTAGTCTTGGATCGAAAGTGCCCTTCCAAAATGATCAAAAGTGCCCCCGCAACACATACCGCCCTTTAGTAGACGCACTACGCGCGCGACAACACCGCTCTTCAGTACGCGCGTATAATTTTTTTAGGTGAAATTTTTTATTCACTGTATTTAAGTTTTTATTTTAAGGACAGATAATATATGTTTCTGGTAGAATGTCCCAGAATTAAATGAAAATAGACAAAAAGCAGAGGTGTGCAAACTCACATTAGCACACTTTCTTTAGTCAGGAGGTGTTAAACAAAAATTAAACGCAAAAATTTTCCCGGGGCTTTCCAAAATAAAATTCACTTTAGAATATTTGCAAGATATTTTAGTTGAATTTTTTTTCTGTATTTTTTTTTTTACTGATTTTAAAAACTTAATATATAGTTGAAATCAGAATTATTAGCCCCCCTGTATGTTTTGTTTTTATAATTAATTCATAACAAACATTTTCTGCACTGAAACTTAATGATATTGTTAACGCTCTGGTTACTAAAGTAACCTTCGTTCCATGAGGAGGGGAACGGGAATGCCATTGGTGAATTTGATTTTAGAAAATCCACGAATGGGAGGATTCGGTTCAGAAGCCACTTTTCTGAAAGAGTATGGAACAGGCCAATAAATGCCAATGAATTGGCAGCGTAAGCTTGCGCACGTGTGCTTCATTGCCAATTATCTCCGCATATAAGCACAGGTGGAGCAAGCATTCGCTATTCTTTTAAGCTGAAGAGACTTGAACTAACAGCTAAGGGTCAGTCATTATGGCGATGGTAAATAGCATTTCTGTTCGAGGGTTACTTTAGTAACCAGAG